GATTGAGCCCCAAGTGGAACTCTGTGCTCGTGGGGAGTCTGCTTGAGATTCTCTCTCCCTCTGCCCTTCCACCCGCTCACGTGTGTGTGCTTTCTCTTCGTCTCTCTCTCAAAGAAATACATAAATCTTTAAAAAAAAAGAAATAGAACTTCCTGCCCTTCTACATAACCCTTCTCATTCCCCTTCCAAGTCACTGGTTTCTTCTTCCTCCCCCATAAGCCTATTTATAAGCCTGTCTTCTAACACTTAGTTTAATCTATAATTTTAGAACTTTCTATAAATAGAATCAGGCAGTAAGTGTTGGGTCTGGCCTTTTGTCTGAGTATTACCTTTGTATAGAAATAATTTGCTCACATTCATTGCTGTATAATTTCTTTTGTATTGCTATATTATAGTTTATCCATTTTGTTGTAGAAGTGTACATTTTGGTTGTTTCAGTTTGTGGCTATTAATAAATGCAGCTATGAATATTCCTGATTATGTTTTTTGGTAATATAATCATGCATAAAATTATGTCATGGGGCAGACAGAAGAGTAAGAAGTGGTTCTGCCAGTTTTATTCTCATGAACAATATATGAAAATTATGGCTGTTCCACATCTTTGCCAGTGCTTCATTATTGTCAGTCTTTTTAAAATTTCAAATATTTTTGGAGGTTTTAAGTATATCATACTGTAATTTTAATTAAAATTTGTTGGAAGAATTTTTCACTCTGTGTCTTACCTTTTCCCTTTTCTCAGTGGTGGATTTTGATAAATAGAGGTTATTAGTAGAATAACACAGTACAGTTTATCAATGATTTCCTTGAGCTTACTGCTTTTTCTGTCTTGCATCAGAAATACTTCTCTACACCAAGGTCCAGGAAGACATATGTGCCAGATCTTTTAGACGTGTGCTTGTCTATTATGGTAGTTACTTGCTCCATGCGACTGTTTAAATTCTAATTATCAGGTTCATTTCCTTAGTCACAGTAACCACATTTCATAAAACAACAATGTGGTTAGTGGCAACCATATTGGACAGCACAGATACAGACTATTACCGCTACAGAAAGCTATATTGGGCATTGTTGTCCTAGAACCTGATTATTGAACATTTATATTTGTTTTTGTTTTTGTTTTTAAAGATTTTATTTATTTATTTATTTGACAGAGATCACAAGTAGGCGGAGAGGCAGGCAGAGAGAGAGGAAGGGAAGCAGGCTCCCTGCCTAGCAGAGAGGCCAATGCGGGGCTCGATCGCAGGATCCTGGGATCGTGACCTGAGCCGAAGGCAGAGGCTTTAACCCACTGAGCCACCCAGGCGCCCTGAGGTTCATTTTCTTACATATGAATAGCAAATTAACCAAAACCATTTAATGGTAAGACCATCCTGGTTCACCAGTGCTACTTTGTTGTAATTCAGGGCTATTTCTGGGCCTTTTATTCTATTCCTTTGGTTTATTTGTCGGTACTGTGTGAGTACCACACTGTCTTCATTACTTTGTTCTAAAACTTGGTCATGATATAGTATCTTTTATATATTTATAAATTTTGTTTGTTGAAATGTGTGATTTCTTTTTTTTTGTAATGTGTGTTTTCAGTATATAGGAAAAATACTGTATCTCACATCTCATTCAATACCCTACTTTTTTAAACGAAGAGCTATGTTTTCAAGATCCTTTTGTCTTACTATATGTACCTCTAACCCATTTCTTCTGATTTCTGCACTGTACTCTAATTACTGGGTTAATTCCAACCTCCTTTACCATACCAGCACCAGCTTTTATTCTTTTTGGTCATCTATTGAATGCCTGTTACGCCAGGCACTATGACATGTATTGAAGGATAAAGCACTTCTAGATTTATTTATTTTCATATATAAAAATATTTTATTTAGCTGTATATATAATTCTGTAAAGAGATTGGTTAAGAACATAAGTTCTCTAAGTGGTCATAACAAGCTACGATAAAGGGAGTTGCAAACAGCTATGCAAGAAAACACAAATATGCAGCATTTCTACAATGTGTTGATTCTCTATGTAGGAGAATTTTTAAAACAAAAAAGCATTCTGTGATGCATTTTTGGGGGGCACAGTGTTAAGAACAGGGAATTATATTTCCTTTTCTTCATATTTTGTTCACGGTACTTCGTTTGTACTTACTCACTGTCATGATCATTACAATAATATAAACGCATCCCTCTCCTCGTTTTAGGCAGAATCTGATTGCTCACTTAAGGCAAAAGCTCACAGCTCTCTGCAGTTCACTAAGCTAGTCTCCATTTATGCGTCTCTTTTATGGCTGCTGCTTTTTGTTACTGCTACTGTCATTTTTGCTGCTGTACTTTGTTCTTGTTGATTTGTCTTTAAAAATTCTTTCACTGTAATTTTAGTGGAGTTTCAGGGGTGTGGATGCTAATATATGAGCCCAGGCTGGCATTTTTAACCTTGTAGACATAACTTTCATCTTCTGTGATGTATTTTTTTTCTGTTGAAAAGCAACAGTGCTTCTTAAAATCCATTAAGACTGTTAATCACCTCCATGGTTTTGTTTTGTATTCTGTAATGGATCATGTTTAGACCCGTGTAGTAATTATTGAGTCTTTAGGATGATGGTTTTTTTTTCTTTTCTGTTTTAGAAGATATGTTCATATGTTTGTGTTTTTCTTACTTTTATGTTGTGATCCATATAGATATAGTTTTTACATATAGAACTATATGTGCTTGCCCTTAGTTCTTTATATTGCTTACCTAAGTTATGTGGACCTTAATTTCTACTTTAAGTTTCACTTACATAAGTTACTTGAAGGTAGAGATGCTGTGTTTTTCAATCTCCATACTTCTAGAACCTGATGTGTACATAGTACCATAGTTTCTTGTTTAAATTCAAAACATAGCATTCATGCTAAAAATCAAATTGCTATTTTGGTTTTTTTGGAGAATAACATGACAAACTATTTATTTACATATAATGTATTACTTGTTTCAGGGGTACAGGTCTTGATTCATCAGTCTTACACAATACACAGTGCTCACCATAACACATACCCTCTTCAGTGTCCATCACGCAGCCACCCCATCCTTCTCACCGCCTCCACTTCAGCAACCCTCCATTTGTTTCCTGAGAGTAAAAGTCTCTTACGGTTTGTCTCCCTGTCTGGTTTTGTGTTGTTTTATTTTTTCCTCTCGTCCCCTATGATCCTCTGCCTTGTGTATCAGATTTTACACATCTGTGAGATCATATGATTGTCTTTCTCTGATAGACTTATCTCACTTAGCATAATACCGTCTAGTTCCATCCACATAGTTGCAAATGGCAAGATGTCACATTTTTTTGATGGCTGCATAATATTCCCTCGTGTATATATCCCATCTTCTTTATTCATTTATCTATCGATGAACATGTGGACTTTTTCCATAGTTTGACTATTGTGGACATTGCTGATAAAAACACTGGGGTGCATTGGATTACTACATTTGTATCTTTGGGGTAAATAGCCACCCAGTAATGCGATTGCTGGGTCATAGGGTAGGTCCATTTTCAACTTTCTTAGGAACCTCCATACTGTTTTCCAGAGTGGCTGCACCAGCTTGCATTCCCACAAGCAGTGTGAGAGAGGGTTCCCCTTCCTCTGCATCCTTGCCAACATCTGCATGACAGACCTTTTAAAACAGCAATTTTCCATAGAAGGCTTACGGAATTTCTCTAAAGCAATATTAGCATATATATATTTAATAGATAGGGTTATTTGATTTGGTGTGTAAGTATGATAATGAGACTAAGGTTCGAATCGGCAGTGTGGATTATGTTTTATGGTATGCCCTGCATTCTTTATATTGGCAAACTCAATAATTGATACTGCTATCGGAGGGTTCAAATATAACTAGAATTATGAATGACAATCCAGATAATCAAACTGCGGGGGAAAAAAAACCCAAAACATGGTTTTAAGATGATGATTCAATAAGGTTTTCTTTCTATATGGAGAACAATAACTAATGAGCCATTCTTATAATCAGGTAATCGTAAACATTTCACTTGTTAAATTCACTTTTACTTTAAAGTAATTGACTATCAGTAATATCTTTTGTTTATAAACTGTTTTCCCATAGGTTCTTAGAACTAGACTTTTAATGTTTTTGATGGAAAGGTTTTTAGTTATGTGGTAATAGGTTGAAAAGATGAAATTCTTTCATGGTTCTGATTCTCACTTTTGCAAAGGTATTAGTGTTAACTGAAGTAGTTCACAAGTAGTCTCTATCCAATAGCTTAAACTATATTCACTCACACTGATAACTAAATGAAAGAAATCAGTGTGTTCTAGGCTCATAAGAAGGCATACTTAAGGACGGGAAGCAATTGTTGATGGGTTTGTGGAATGACGTTTGCTGGGTAATGCTCAATGTGGTCTTTAGTGAGTAACAGAGCTCTGTAACAGTGGTCTTGGGGTGGGAAGTCAGGGTCAGATAATGCCTTTACATTGATGAGAGCTCTTAAATAAGAATTTTTCAGCAGTGAAATGACTTAAAGGCAGGCATGAGAAAGGAAGATGAGGACAATACATCATAATAAATAACTGATTGACCTTAAAGTGGGTGGAGAAAGAGTGCGGTGGCCAGCTGATTCTGACACGCTTATCTTACTTAATCTTCCCTTTTTATTAATTTTATTTAATCTTACTTTTTCAGATGTGCTCCCTCATTAAGGATGCTTAGATTTTTTTTAATAGTTCTCTGCTGTGTATTAAATAATGGTAAAATAATAATCAAATGATCATATTTTAATGTCACTTTTCTATTGAATTGGGCTTAATTGTTATTAGGCTTTATTTAGCTTTTCCCTTTTTGAGGGGAGCTGTTTTACTTATTCCTTGAAGGCCTTAAATATAAAAAACAATATAATTGTATTTAAGATGCAAGTAATTAACCAGCATTTTACAAGGTCTGTTGGAAATTGATTGCATGTTTATTTTTTGAAATATTTTTCAACAATGGTCCAAATATTTTTGTTTCCATTTTAGAACAAAATCCAGTCTCATAGCAGAGGAGAATATAATGTTTACAGCACCTTTCAGAGCCATGAACCAGAGTTTGACTACTTGAAAAGTTTAGAAATAGAAGAAAAGATCAACAAAATTAGGTGGTTACCCCAGAAAAATGCTGCTCAGTTTTTACTGTCTACCAATGGTAAGTGTTAATTTTTTTCCTTTTGTATGCCACTATCTACATATGTCCGATAGGATACTTAGTTCTTTACAAAGAGGGATAGGTGTTCAGAGATTTCTGCATATAGACACTTGGAAATATGTCTTCCCCATAGGGAATGTGTAAATTCTTCTTTTTTTGTCTTCCGTTTTTAAATTCTCTTCTTAGTTTTTAAATTCCACAAAAAGGTCCTCGGGTGTCAGTTTTCTTATGGTGCATACACAGTCTGTAGTGGAAAAAAAAAGGGACTTGATCATTGGATTTAGATCAGGTATGGCTTGTCCCAGCTTGGCTTACTAGCTTTGGAGAGGTTATAGCACTTAAGTTACTTCCTTGTCAGCAAGCTGGAGATGGTAATATCTATGTAGTAGTATTGTTATGGGTAGTAAATAAAATTTCTGGTATGCATAGTAAGTTCTCATAAATGTTAAAGTGTGCCTAAACTCTCCAAAGAATATCTCAAACTATAAATACAAAATACTCCGCCAAAGGATGGTCTCCATTCCAGGATACTTTCTAGAGGAGCACCCTTCCTACTTGATCCATTGTTTAGTTAGGATACAAACTGGAGTCTGCATTCTGCCTTCTTCCCAACAAACCTCATAGGTGGGAGAAGATTCTTCTTAGTCTGCTCGGGAAAAGTTATCAAATAAGAGAATACCAGAATTAAAAGTACTTCATGACAAGTTGAAGAACTTTTCTTTTCTTTTTTAAGATGTTATTCACTTATTCATGAGAGACAGGGAAGGGAGAAGCAGGCTTCCTGTGGAGCAGGAAGCTGGATGCCAGCCTCAGTCCCAGGACCCTGGGATCATGACCTGAACCACACAGGCACCTTCTTTTTGTTCTTCAAAATTTTTTTCTTACGGGTTTTTCTGACTTGGTTAATCCTCGGGGGCTTGGGTCTGAAGAGAACCATTAGAGTGATTGAGTGATTGATGGGGACTTATAGGTTCTGGTTAGCCATTGTCTGTAAAAGTTTAAATTAAAACTTTCTTGAAGCTGATATAAGGCACTGTTAATTAAATCAGATTTTAATACTTGGTAGACCTTACCATTTTTTACCATTTGCTGATTATAAACTCAGGAAACTTCTGGGGTGACATGGTGGAAAATGCAAAGTGCCCCTTTCATCCTGTTTAGGCCTCATCACCCACTTTTTCAAGTTCTTAAAGGTGTATTCCTTAACACAGTGTCATTAGCTAACACCTCAAGTTTACTTCCTCTTAGGTGTCCATTTTGTTTTTCTGATGGTCAAATTTTTCCCCAGCCAGTCCACCAAAACCCTCTACCCCCTCTCTTCTCACATCACTGTATTTGACTCTCTTCTCCTTACTAAAAGAAAAATAAACGATTTCAAGCTTATGACTTAGAGCATTATAGATGGAGGAATTGTATTTATTCCTGTTGAATGTTGGCTTCTAATCTTGGTTCAGTTTTCATTTATATGGTAAACTGAGCTATTTCAAATAGCACTTGAGATACTGCTCTTTCACATAAAATCATAATCTAATCATTTATATGGTTTCTGCTTTTGGAAATAAATGCCCCCAGTAAGTGTGTTGGGACATACATAATTCATGTATTGGGATATTTGTTCTTAATTTTGGCAGTTCATTTCTTATGGGATAAATTACTTCTCTTTTTATAAAGGGAAATATTTAAAATACAGGCTGAACTAGGATAAGGGAGCCCTGTGTACCCATCAGCCAGCTTCAGCAGGTCTGAGTTCATAGCCAGTTGTTTTTTCAAATACTTCCACTTCCCCTCCTTCTCAGTATTGTTTGGAAACAAATCCCATTTTAGTTCATTTATGGATTAAGTCTTAATTACCTTTTAACTTCTCTGTTGATACTCAAATTTGTCTTCCATGCAGGTATCCACATGCTCTCTGATTTGAAATACACAAGGCAGTGTTTAGCCAGACAAGCTTTTCTAGGCAGTAAGCTCTTCAAAGGCTCAGTGGAGGGAGAGGCCACTGGGAATTCCAGTGGTTGGGTCTCAAGTATGTGACTCTATGTAGTATTTTTCTGTAGACGGAAACAGCAGTCTCCCCAGTATGTTTACCATGTAAATTTTAAGCCCTTGATTTATAATACAAATTATTTTAAAGGGCACTTGCACAAGGCATTGTAGGTTTCTGTCTTTTGTTGTTACTGTTAATGAATAGTAAATAAAATACATTTATTTGGGGCTGTGTATTTTTTTTTTTTTTTAAGCTAGAAAATAGAGCCCACTTTGGAAGGATAAAACCAGTGTGGGAATTTTACAGACTGCTGTGTCTGGATGTGGTGGGATGGGGAAAGGATGGATGGACTAAAACTTAAGCAATATCTGGAAAGCTTTATTGTTTAAGAAGAGAGAAAGTAATCATGGGAGAATGTCAGCATCGCTTAAATCTAAGTAATACTTTTTATATTATTTGGTATAGTTGTCTCTGTGAGATTGAGCAAAATAATACCTCTCCTCCACGTATAACAACAGGCCTTTCCACTCATAAAAGATGAACTCCTGTAGGAGATTGGTGGAAAACGACTAAACATATCACCTGTGATTGACCGAAAGTAATCTTACTTTTGTCTATGCATTGGCTTTCCACGGTCATCATAAACTGTCCCATGTCTCCCAAATCGGTTTTACTTAAATAACTTCATAGTTTTAGTTCATTTAATGTTTCTTCAGGTGGGTGTACTCTTTCTTTTTCATCTTCTTTTGCTTTCTCTTAGTTCTCCTCAACTCTTCTCATTGCTCCTCATTCTACCTCTAACCTGTTGACCGTGGGTCTTGTATATATGAGTAATATATATATGAGTAATAAAAAGTTTACTAGTAAAGTGTATTTTAACAGCTTGTTGTTAAGAATCTCTTTAATCATAAAACTGCATTCCCACAAAGGAAACATGGTAGTGCGGTCTTCCCTGTCCCAATCCTCTTTTTATGGTGAGACCAACACTGGGGCTTACAGACTTTAGGAACCCTCTTTATGTGTTAGTTTTTTGTTTTTTTTTTTTAAGGTTTTATTTGTGAGAGAGAGAGAAAGAGTGCATGAGCAGGGGGAGGGGCAAAGGACGAGGGAGAAGCAGACTACCTGCTGAGCAAGGAACCCTACTCAGGGCTCACTAAGGGGTGGATCCCAAGACCCTCCACATCATGACCTGATTAAAAGGCAGATGCTCAACTGACTGAGCCACCCAGGTGCCCTTACTTGTTAGTATTGGCACTGTAGGGAAACACCATAGAGCGGTGGTTCTTAACCTTTTGGAAATGACAGATTTCTTTGAGGAATCCAATAATCCCCTTATAGAAAAATATGTATATTTGCATAATTTTGCATGTGGTCCTATGGAGTTTGATTATTGTCACATACCTCCAATAGGCCAAAAACTACAGCTAAAAAAGTCACAACTACAGAGCTTAAGAATTTGATTTTTTTAAAAAATTGTTACACGTATTAAAATATTTTATTTCTGACCTGCCTTGTTCCCAAGCATTGCACTGAAATTGTATAGTACTTTTCTATCCTGTGTTTATGTTATTAAAATTTTTAAAAAAGATTTTATCCATTTATTTGACAGAGATCACCAGTAGGCAGAGAGGCAGGCAGGCAGAGAGAGGGGAAGAAGCAGGCTCCCTGCCAAGCAGAGAGCCCGATGCGGGGGCGGGGGGGGGGGGGGCGCTAATCCCAGGACCCTGGGATCATGACCTGAGCCAAAGGCAGAGGCTTTAACCCATTGAGCCACCCAGGTGCCCCTATGTTACTAAATTTTTTAAACCTTTTTTTTTTTTTTTTTTTCCCTTCCCTTTTTTAAGATTTTATTTGACAGAGCACATAAGCAGGGGCAGAGGGAGTAGCAGGCTTCCCACTGAGAAGGAGCCTGATGCAGCACTCGATCCCAGGACTCTGGATCATGACCTGAGCCAAAGGCAGATGCTTAACCAGTTGAGCCACCCAGACTCCCAAATTATTTTAACCTCTTAAGTGACAACTTTTTTGGTAATAACGTTTAAAAAATCCTTTTACCCGGTTTTTCGTGATTTAAAAAAAAATTTTTTTTTCTTCCTAAAACACTATTAGGAACCATAAACTAATTACATCTTATTTGAAAAGTTTGGTAAGTATATTGTGATTTCTTTATCTGGATCTTTGGTAAGGATGATGAATTTGGACAGGCAATAAGACAGTTTCGGAGATTGGGTGAGGAGAAGCTTTTCATCCTTATTTTTGGATAATTACCCTGAAAATTAAGAGTTTAGGCTTGACTTACTACATTTGGGGACAAGTAGAATATCCTAAAATGCATAAATCTTTACCTAGACATACTACATAGAAAACACATATGACTTAACTGTAAATTACTAGGGTTTAGATAAAATAGATTACAAGTTAGTAAAGTTAGCAGTTTTTTTCTTCTTACATTTCATCCTTACAAAGGGTATCCACAGGATTGGCTAGCACCCTCTTCACTACCAGGCAGAGAGAGGTGGTAGGCTTAGAGGAGTCCTGTACCTCTCTGTGAGACAATGTATTAGAAAGTACCTCTATACACTTCTTTTTTTTTTTCAGTTGTACCCTTTGGATTATGAAAGGACCATTAAGAATGTGATACTTTTATATGAATGCAGTTCGAAGATTATAACCAAAGTATTAAATAAACATGCACAAGTCTGTAATGATTTAAATAAAAAGTTAGTTGAATAAATAAATAAGCAGGGAGAGGAGATGCTTCTTACAGGAGAATTTAAAATACATGGATGGATGCTCCTCCTCACAGGGACTGTAATTTAATTGTTCCTTTAAGTGTGGACTGGACTTCAGAGATTCATTTCCAGAGACTAGAGTATGGCAAGGGGGAAATTAACTCTGAAATGGAGAAACCTGGCAGATACTGCTTTAACCAAGTGAACAGAACTGTCATCTCCAGTGGGAAAGTCCTGTTGATACTGTGTATACTTTCACTGCACCTCTGGTATTCTTCCTAAAAACCAGTGATCCCAGTCTGATCATGCAAAAACAGCAGACCTACTGCATCGCTCTTCTCAGAACTGTGAGGATGATGAAAACTAAGGAAAGTCTGAGAAATTGTTAAAAGTCAGAGAGACTAGGGAAACTTGACAGATAAATACAGTGTTGCTTAGATCCTGGAAGAGAAAGGGCTGTTAGGAGAAAACCTGGTGCATTCTGAGTAAAGTCTAGAGTTTAGTTAGTAGTAATGTACAATGTTAATTTCTTAATTTTAACAAATATACCATGGTTGCTTAAGATGTTGACATTAGAAGAATTGGGTGAAGCGTAGAATGGAAACACTTTGGACAATTTTGCAACTTTACTGTAAGTCAAAATTTACTCCAAAAATAAGCATTTATTTAAAAAATACTATTTAAAAAAATAAAAATACTATTTAATATATTCTTGATACCAGGAATTTTGTCTTAAAGAACTTGGGACACAGCTTTTAATTGGTCACTTTTTTTTTTTTTTTCAGACCATGACCAACTTGACTTGAATCCCTAATACAACAGGGAAAGGTAGATCCAAACAGAGGCATCCAGTCTTTGTAGGAATTTGTGGAGTCTTTGGTAGGATCTGTTAGAAATCCTAGGAGATAAAGGAGATGGATACTCCTTTATCCTTTTTATTCTAGATAATAGGCTATAGTAGTAACTCCATTCTTTTCTAAAAAATGTGTATGTGTATGTATGTGTTTGTATTTACAGACATGTAGGTGCTTATACACACAAACACAACTCCCCCCTCCCCCCCGGATTAATTAGTTCTAAAGGACAAGGACCTGGTTGTGACTTGATGTTAATACCAAATGGTACTTTGAGGGGCACCTGGGTAACTCAGTCAGTTCAGTGTCTGCCTTTGGCTCTGAGGCCATGATCCCAAGGTCCTGGGATTAAGCCTAGTGTCAGGCCTCTGCTCAGTGGGGAGCTTGTTTCTCTCTGCCTGCTGCTCTGCCCGCTTTTGCACTCACTCTCTCTCAAATAAATAAATACAATCTTTCTAAAAAATGGTACCTTGAGTGCCACTAATGTATAATTTGTCATTTCTGTATTGTAGTTCTATGTATGTGTCTTTATTCGCCAGGTAATAGGAAATTTGTTTTTTTATTAAGTCATATAAGAGATTGTATTCTTGGGATCCTTTTGGGTGAAATATGAAATAGTGTGTTTGAATACGCCTTAAAATGTTTTTCTTCTATTACCAGTATTCTTTTTTTGAGGACTTTTTTCATTTTTCTCTCCAGATAAAACAATAAAATTATGGAAAATCAGTGAAAGGGACAAAAGACCAGAAGGGTATAACTTGAAAGAGGAAGATGGAAGGTATAGAGATCCTACTACAGTCACTACACTACGAGTAAGTACTTAAGAAAAAATGATGGTAACTCTGATAGTGTTCTGTATTCATACTACATATTCTAGATCCTAAACAACTTGAATAGGATTAACGATAATCTGCCCCCTCTCAAAAAGTATATAACCAGATAGGACATTAAAAATTCCTGTTTTAAATAACTGTCCCACATAAAGGTCTGTCTGTGCCAGGGGGTGACCCAGGACCCAATGCAAGACCGTTTTATACAATACCACACTCTTTTTTGCCCTTACAGTTTGAATGTCAGCTATTCTGACCTTAAGTATCAAGATTAATTTGCTTTGGAGATAAGAAAGTAGGTAAAAATGGACCAGATCTAGTTCAAGCTAAGAGATACCAAGAATTAGGTGTTCTGAGCTAATTTCCTTCTTAGCCAGTCCAAACCAGAAACATTTAGCTTTGCGAGTCTCCAGCAAAAGATTGGAACTAGAAAGCACATCAAATTCTAATAATACTGCTATCTATAAAAAAAGGTAAATTAACAAAATTATTTATTTTTCTTCTCATTTCAACACTTTAAAGATCAACGTCAATTGCTTTATAAAGCTAAATCTGTGTAATATTACACTATATAAACTGTACTGCACTGTTATATTATACTTTATCTTTATATATCTTTAATACTATATATTATCTTTGATAAAGAGCATATGTATATAATATACTATAGTGTTCCCTCAAAAACTAGGATAAAGAGCTGAACCTTAAGTGCCATTGTAAATAGTGAGCATTTTGTAATGACCGTTTTTCATGTGTCTTATTGACAGGTGCCAGTCTTTAGGCCCATGGACCTAATGGTTGAGGCCAGTCCACGAAGAATATTTGCCAATGCTCATACATATCACATCAACTCAATTTCTATTAATAGTGATTATGAAACATATTTATCTGCAGACGATTTACGGATTAATCTTTGGCATCTGGAGATTACAGACAGGAGTTTTAGTATCCGTTTGGTTTCTTTTTTTGGTGTTTGGTAAAGAAGACATGTTGTGCCCCATACTAGATTTATTTTCATCTCTCCGTATATTTTTATTTCTTCTTTTTAAAAGTAGCTTCTTACTTTATAACACTTTTTCTTTGTGTTTAAGTGATTAAATAGTGGGGGAAGTTCTTTGATAAAGAGCATGATACATTGATTAAAAAATAGGATTCTTAGAATTATAAGTACTATTATAGTAAGTTTAGTACTTAGTACTAAATACTTTGCTATAATACTATGTATATTAAATACAGTTTTACCTATAAAAAGTTTTTTTAATGGTTGAGTTTTTAATAAAACAAATTTGTAGAGTATTATCTATAATTATAAAAATATTCTTAGTAAGGTTGGCTAAAGAAATTAATAGAAGTCATCGTGGTATAAAGGCAATAGAAATACTTCTCCAGACGCCACTTTCATTGTTTATACTATCCTTCTGAGATTTTTCTGTACATGTACAAGTGTGTGATTCAGACATACCTGGCATACACAGTACGCTATATACATATAAACCTAGGATTGTTTATAAATATATTTAAGTATCTTTCTTTAAAGGTCTTGTTACATGTAGTTATTGCTGCTAGTGTTAATGTTATATTTTTTAAATAGACATCATTTGAAAAATCAACACTTTACTATAGTTCATATTCTGCCCATAGTATATAAAAGAGCCTGTTTCCCTTCATTACCAGTCTAGTTAGTGAAAAGTCCTATTTATCAACTATTTATATTTCTTTTTGTTCTCTTCTCATTTTTTCATTGAATTTATATACATACTGGGGTTTTTGTTTGTTTTTAAAGCACTTTTTTAAAATATTAAGTGAATCAGCTCCTTTGTGTTGCAGATAGGTTCCCTTTTTTACCCCCTTGAAGTTTTTTACTTTTGTTTAGAATTTACACTAAGTCCTGTTAATATAGGAAGATAAACTTAATCAGTCTTTTCCTTATGGCTTCTGGGATTCGCATCATACTCAGAAAAAGAGGCCCATCTACATTCTAACATGGTTTCTTCTAAGATTTTTTCCCAAGCATTAGAAGTTTTTATCCCTCTGGGATTTGTACTCCTAGTAGAATGCAATTCAGAATTAATCCTTGTGGTTAAGTTTATGAATTAATTTCAAACTTGAGAAATGTAAAATTATATTTGCCCTTTTTTCTAAGTGGAAATTCCTTAATAAAATGCTATCCAGATATTGTGGATATCAAGCCTGCCAATATGGAAGAGCTAACAGAGGTGATTACGGCGGCAGAATTCCATCCAAACAGCTGCAACACGTTTGTATACAGCAGCAGTAAAGGAACTATTCGGTTATGTGATATGAGGGCCTCTGCCCTCTGTGATAGGCATTCTAAACGTAAGTGTTTTCGTCTTTTTTTCAAATGGTAACATTTTCTGCTCTTTGAAAGTGGCATCAGGCATAGTGACTACATTTACATGGGTTTACAAATCTGGAAACCTGTGTGCCCAGGGCCTCCTGTACCCTTTGGTAATAAACTGCCTGACTCCACGTGAGGTATTATAGGTCATAAAAGGCTCTCTTGGGAGCATGTCTGTTGTTGTCCTAGAGGATATATATTTTAAATGGAATGTGATTTTGGGAGAACTTGGGGCTGGGCTCTCTAACTCTTAAGTAGAGTTGGTTTTGTTTTTTTTTTTCCTTTCCTCCTTGCCTCCCTTTTCTCTTTTCCTCCTGCTCTTCCTTTGTTGCTTTCTGTTTTGAGCTTTCTAGGAAGATTTTTCTGAGAAGAGATTTCCTTGGTTTAAAAAAAATTTCTAAAAAACACTGGGTTAAAAAATTAAGGGGTTGCATTATTATTGTCTTCATGTTGTTAAGTGTTTTTAAAACTCATAAAAATGGGTACATGCCTGTTACCAAAATACCTGGCCGCTAAAAAAAATAAAATCTGGTATAAATACGGATGGTGTGTTCCCTTGTGGTGAACATAAAGGCAAAGTTATGGAGGTACATGCAGAACCTACAAACCTGGTGCACTTTGAAATCAGAAGTCCTGGCTATTCCTGTTTCTGCTAAATCAGCTATAAGACCCTGGGAAGATACTGTATACTTTTGTATCTTCAATATCAATGTTAAGTCATTCCCCTTAAGAAACTTTCAGGAAGGTTATGTTCTTACAGTCAGATGTTTTTCATTTCTGCACTAGCCTGTCATCTCTAGCTCACTCTTAAGAAGTTTGTGAATGGTTTTCTCAGCAAGTGCTTTGTCCAAGCCAGAATATTCTACAAATTGCCCTTTAAAAATTTTTTTTTTTTGCTTGTTTTTAGTGTTTGAAGAACCTGAAGATCCCAGTAACAGGTCTTTTTTTTCTGAAATCATCTCCTCTATTTCTGATGTAAAATTCAGCCATAGTGGTCGATATATGATGACTAGAGACTATTTGTCAGTCAAAATTTGGGACTTAAATATGGAAAACAGGCCTGTGGAAACATACCAGGTATTTGCAGTTTTTTCTTTCAATTAGCATATGCCCTATTTACTCCAAAGTCTTCATAGAAGAGGATTTTGTACTATGTGTTAATCCCAGTACAGCATGGGTGGACCCTTAGGCGTTTTCCTTCAGAGATTCATAAGTATGTTGCTTTTCCATATGTTGATTTTATGTATACTTTTATAGAGGTTGTGTTGTCTGTTCAGTTAAAGTGTGATTTTGCTACCAGTTTGGTTCACTGTTGACACCATTTTTCCACACTGCTGTCTGCATTTAAAGTGAGGAGGAAGAGTACTCTAATAAGGTCTAGGTGGGGAAGAAGATTGCAGAGAATGGCCCATCTTGGTTGGAGTATGAGCAGTAGTAGTTGAACTAGAGCTTAACTTTGGCGTGCCCAGTCAAATAGACTGACATTCTGCCTTTCGGCGGATGACTGTTGTCTTAGGCTAAAGGAGAAGGGCTTGAAAGCCCAAGATATTAGTTCTGGGTTCTCTTGTCAGTCAGCCACCATCGATCCCCTATCCCTTTCTTCTGGAGAAGAGAATAAAGACATGCACAGCTGGGGACAGGAATGGGGGCAAGCAGAAACATGGGGTAAACCCTAAACTACAGTATAGAAGACACTTAACACTGTTTTAAGAATACAGAATTTGTAAATGGTACCTTCTTTATGTTGTGTGTTTTCTATAAAATTAAAATGATGTTTCTCAAGCCTTTTACTCCTCTTTTACAAGCATAAACTACTATAAAGATTCTTCCTTAATGGTTTGAAATTCTATTTTTTTAGATTATTTATTTATTTATTTGACAGAGAGAGAGAGAGATCACAAGTAGGCAGAGAGGCAGGCAGAGAGAAAGGGAAGCAGGCTCCCCGCTGAGCAGAGAGCCTGATGCGGGGCTCGATCCCAGGACCCTGAGATCATGACCTGAGCTGAAGGCAGAGGCTTAACCCACTGAGCCACCCAGGTGCCCCTGGTTTGAAATTTTAAAGGAAATGCTACGTTGAAACAAAGGCAAAGAGATACATACTGCTTTGTTTTCAGTTAAATTTGTATAACTTCCAAGATTGTGATCTATCTCCTGGTGTTTCTCACCACCACCACCACCACCCCCGTTGCCATTGAGAATAAAATTGATTTGGATCTTAATTTCATACTCTTAAAATTGTTTGGTGGGAAACCCTGTATGTGGATTCTAGAACTTTGCTGAATTGTCATGATTAACCTGATTTGCAGTTTTTCTGCTTATGCTGAATTGGATTAGTGATTCAGAGTAGAGTTACATTTTATACTCAATGTATGCAGATTTAGCTGTTGTTGAATTTATATAAGCATCTTCCTGAGCTTTGTGTGACTAAAGGGTATTTTGATCTCATTAAGTTTTTGCCTTCTATCCTGACCCCTCCCTGAGTTGCAGTTCCTCATAGTTAACAAATTTGCACGTAATGTCACATAGACTTGGCCTGAATCATTCCATTATACTTAAAACTTGAAATGGGCACTTAAAATGATTTTAGGCTGCTTCATAAGGAACAGGGAATTCTAAGCATTGGGAAGGTACCTACTCTTCTATCGTTAATTTTTTTTTAAGTTTCTTCTTAAATTAAAAGGGTTAGTGAGATCAAGACAACCTCTTCCCTCCCACCCCATCACAACAAAAGCTTTGGAACTTTCCTCCTTTCTAATTTAACAGTGTTAATATTGAAATGCATTATTTCTCAGAGTATATTTTAAATACCAAATTTATTTATTTTTTGGTTTATCCCCTTGTGAAATCCTAGTGAATTATACTTCAAAAAAGAGGTACATTTTCATTAGTTTTTGATATTCTGTGAGGAATATCAAGTGATAAGATTTTTTCAGTGATGCATGCTTTGAGTAACTGTATACAGTTGATCTTTGACCAACAGCGTTTGAATTGGGTTGGTCCACTTTATACTTGCATATTTTGTCTATAAAAACAGTAGAGTACTGCAAATGTATATTCCTTGTGATTTGCTGAATAACATTTTCTTTTCTCTAGCTTACTTTCTTATAAGAATGCAATACATAATACATACTACAGACATAAAATGGTGTGTTAACTTTGTCATCAGTAAGTCCTCCCTAGCCAACAGTAGACTCTTAGTAGTCAAGTTTTGGGGAGTCAAAAGGTATATGTGAATTATTTTTTTAAGACCTATTTATTTGAGAGAGGGCGAGAGCGCAAACTGGAGGGGCACAGGGAAGGGAGAAGATAATCTGAAGCAGACTCCACCCTGAGCATGGAGCCTCACATGGGGCTCAGTCTGAAGACCCCAAAATCATGACCTGAGCCAAAACCAAGAGTGGGATGCTTAACTGACTCTGCCACACAGGTGCCCCATATGTGCATTTTTGACTGTGCAGGGGGATTAACACCCCTAATCCTCGAGCTGCTCAAGGGTCAGTTATAATTGCATAGCATATGCACTTTAATGATAATGTAGGATTCAGTTATTTATGCCCGAAAATGGTATTTAAAAAGGAAGTAAAACATAATATTGAATATTTTTTTAATCAGCAGTTAATGGACTGAAAAAAACAGGTGTTATCATATTCAACTATTGATATAATAGTCTTTACTTATTCTGTTATCTGCACCACTTTCAAATGTATTTTAGCATAAATATTTTAGTCCAGCTTGTAGAGTTCATGTGTCATGCCCCAAAGGGTATTTTTGTCTGTCCTACAGTAGGAAAATGTGTGTTCATGGAAGAGAGCTTTGTTTGTGAAAAGGATAAAATGCCTTTATTGTTTGTTACTAAGAGAGTTGAGTTTTAGTAAGATTACAGAGTATGTATGTGTGTCTGTATATTCCTTTAAAAAAAAATAAGGACTTGTTTAAATATTTTTCTAATATCAATTAGCAGATCTTGAAGTTAAGTATATCTATAATAATATATTTATATTTAAAACCCAGGTTCATGAATACCTCAGAAGTAAACTTTGTTCACTGTATGAAAATGACTGCATATTTGATAAATTTGAATGTTGTTGGAATGGATCTGACAGGTAATTGATTTTAATTTGAACTTCTCATTCAAATCGGCCTTTTATTGGAGGAAAAAAAATGTTCTGTTTCACTTTTAGTATGATTGACATAAATTACAAATCCTTACTTCATTTTTCCTTCAGTTTGCTTGAAATAAATTCAGTAATCTTGTAGCAATAATAGCAAATAAAAATTAAACTTTGTCTCATTAGTAAATATGAAAATACACAAAAATGTAGTTATCTTAAGTTATGATTTAAACATCTTTAAATATTCCTTTTTATGAACCAGAGCAGTGACATCTTTGACATGACAACTGTTAAAATGGTGAAATTTCACTCTGGTGGTTCATCTATGAAACTTTTGAGAAATATTTAGGCAATAGATATTTCATTTGGAATATTAAACACCAGTTTTTTCCAGATATCACATCAATATCTCCTAGAAGTGGGATTACCATATGTCATTTTAACCATATTACCTGAGTAATTAGAGTTTTTATAATCTACAACTTTGCCACAGTGTATGATTCATTTTTAGTGTATCATTAAAATGTGTGGTACCATTATTTCGAAGGACAAATAAGTCTTAATCTTTCAGTTTTTCCTTATCAGTATTTATTTATCATTTATTGTGTTCCAGTAGAACAGAAAACGTTAGAAAAGACAATTTTGGAATTACTTAAGCTTGCCTTTATGGTCATTAGATGTACTTTTTAACAGTTTAATCAGTGAAGCTTGATAGAACATTCAAGGATCATGGTGTTCTGTGTTAATAGAGGATGCTAGAACTTGGATCACTTATGTTTGCTGTGATGTTTAATATTACCTTCATCTGAATGTAACATGACACCCAGAAGTAGGCTGGCCACAGTAAACCTAGATTCAGAACAAGCAAGGTTTGCCTTTGAATGCCACTGCTTAACCCTAAGCCATCAAGAAGGAAGAAGGAAAGGGAAGAAGAGAAAGGAGAAGTTTGCAGACAGGAAGAGAAAGAAGATACTGATACACTAGGATCTGATGCACCGCTGCACCAGCTCTTCTCACGTTGTTGAAACATATTGCTGCTGGTTTTAATTTAGGTTCCATTATCAAAAAGAAATTCTTGATTTCCCTTACTGTTTAAAAACTTGTTTTGAAATAATTTCAAACTGGGAGAAAATTTGTAAGAGTGACACAGTCTTATTTAGCCTTTACTCAGGGTCTCCTGTTACTGTTTGCTGTGTCAGTCTCTTCCTTTATATCTGTCTCTGTAAAGACACGCAAATAGATACACATACTTTATTTGTGAACCAATAACATGGTGGCCCATTGCTCTTAAACTTTTTAATGAGCATTTTCTAAAGGATAAGAGTCTCTTCCACATTGTGACAGGGCAGTCATATAAAGCAAAACAGTTGCCGTGGCACAGTCCTCCCATCAAATCCACAGAGCCCATTAAAATTTCACCAGCCCTCTTGGCCATGTTCTTCCTAGCAGAGAAGAAAATCCAGTCAAATATGCAGTCCCAAAGTATATATAACATTTAGTTGTCTTGTCTTGTTCTCCTTTAATCTGGAATAGTAGTTCTTCATGTTTTTCTCGTCTACTGCCACTTTGGCATTTTGAAAAACAGGCCAATGATTTTATAGAACGTTTTTTAATCTGAGTGTTACCTAATGTTTTCTCATAATTTGATTCAGGTTATACATTTTGGGCAGGTATACCATAGAAATGCTGACCTACCAAAACCTTTTAAAATTTACAAAGAGCCATCGACCTAGGTGTTCTAATTATTAAAATCTCACAAATTCAGATAATATGGGGGTACCAATCCAAATACATAATTCATATTAAAAGAGAGTTTTATTACCCTCAGGTATGTGCACCAATTTGAGTTTGATTAAAATGTTGTCAAGTGTCCTTTGGAGGACTTGACATTACTGAATAGATGGTAATCATTTATATTTCATATATGATCTGTATAATGTATGATAACATAAAAATACTTATTTGCAAGCATTACTTTAAACAGTTCCTTGATATTCTGTAATCTTACTTAAAAAATAATTTGAACCATGTGGAAGAACATGGTATGTAATAGTAGCACCAGACCCTTTCTAAATTAATAGTTTCAGACTTGGGTGGTTTTGCTTGTTGGTGCTTAAACTTAGCAAACATTGAGCAGTGATGGATGGAAAGTTGAACTGACAGAGGTACCCTGGGTAAGGTTAAAATTTGGCAATGATTAAACGGATACTGTAAAAATATTTGTCCCCAGAAAAAGTGCTTTAAATGTATTTAATGCAATAGGTAAAATGACTTCCTGTGAAGAAAAAAATTTATATTCTACTCTTAATAGTCACAGAATAAGGTTTTTGTTTGTTTGTTTTTTAAGAGAGAGAGCGAGCACATAAAAGCAGGGGAAGCTGCAGGGAGAGAGAGAAGCAGGCTCCCTGCTGAGCAAGGAGCCCCATACAGGACTCTATCCCAGCACCTTGGGATCATGACCTCAGCTGAAGGCAGACGCTTAATGGACTGAGCCACCCAGGCATCCCAGATACCTTAAAAGCATTCATAAGATAGCATTTTCCCAATCAGACAACATCCTGGGAGCAAATTCTGTAGTTTATAATTTAAATCACAAAGTAATGTATTGGTTTCTTATGAATAGCTATATACCATGAATTTTGAAGGGTTTTAGAACCTGTGATCCCATGGTTGGTATTTGAAGAAGCTACCAGTTTGGTTAATCACAAAACCTATAGTTGCAAAAATATATTCAGCAGAGATTATTTCAGTACTACTAAGAAGCTACTTTCGAGAATATTTTCAACTTCGGTGATAGTTTTGGTAGTCCTGAAAAGGAGCTATTAATAGAAATCCAAGCTAACTACCACTAACTAGTGCCAGACTAGTACTAGTTTATTTGAATAATTGGTCCTTGGGTTGGTGTCAGCAACCCTCTCCCTAAATCCAGATCAGCTTGAAGTAGCTATTTCCTATGTGGTAATAGGCTAGGTTTCATCACTGAATCATTTTACTGGAAATAAACTTTTGTTCACTTACTTGCATCCTGTTTGCTTTTGCAGTGTTGTCATGACTGGATCTTACAATAATTTCTTCAGAATGTTTGACAGGAACACAAAGCGAGACATAACCCTAGAAGCATCACGGGAAAACAACAAACCTCGCACAGTTCTGAAACCACGAAAAGTCTGTGCAAGTGGCAAGCGAAAGAAAGATGAAATAAGTGTTGACAGCTTAGACTTCAACAAGAAAATCCTTCATACAGCCTGGCACCCCAAGGAAAATATCATTGCTGTAGCTACTACAAACAATCTGTATATATTTCAAGACAAAGTGAATTAGGGTTGGCATTCCCAGCAGAAGAGCCCACTTCCTGCTTAGTTGAGATAGTTGAATCTAGCATTCGTACCTAAAACAGAGAGAGGTCCATTGTGGCGCCCCTTTCCAGTGTTTGACAATGTGCCATTCGACAACACATTTTTTATAGCTACATGGAGAAATCTCTGTGGATTCATCACTGTGGTGTTCTCCATGTCTGCTAGCCATGTAGGTAAGGGTAGGGCACTTTTAATTTAAATGACTTCTTGCACCATCTTGCCTAATGGACTAGATTGGACTGTATCAACATTGATTTACTCCACTTTTTATGCCTTCCATTGTGATGACGTCAAACACAGTGAAAGCCTTCAGTCATGCTTATGGGATTTAATTGTGTATCCTCATTACTGTATCATTTGTGGGGTACACCCCTCCCCCTTTTTTAAATTAAATACAGCTCATTCTTACTGTGGCTTGTAGCATTCCTCCTCTTCTGGCCTCCTGGACTCTTCCCCTTCATCTCTTTTACCCTTGCCCCCTCCACCCAGTCTTGGTGGTGGTATATTAAAAAAAGGAAGAACGAAAGCACACAAAATGAGTCAGTTTGGGGTCAGTGGTAAAGGGGGTATATGTTGCGAACAAATGTTTTAATAACAGTTGGCTGTAATCACTCCTTGCCGTGTCTGGCACCGAAAATAAGGAAAAAAATACTACTACTGAATAAAAGTGACAAAGAATGGAGAATCTGGTTTTCTTTTTTCTTTTTAATCTACCTCTTTAAGCCAGTATTTTGTGTCATACTTTTGGGCGCAGTGAAATGAAAGGAGTTTCCATTGTTTAATTGGTATTTTTGTTAATTATCTTTAACAAGTGTTCTTTTACATGGAGAAGGAGAGGTCTTGGTTCTGTATGAACAAGTTTTGAATATATATTGGTATTACTAAGGATTTCACAATCTACAAATTGCTAGAGATTTTTTTTTTTTTACTGTGGTTATGAGTATTGGATACATTGTATCTACACTTAACTTCTCTGTTAATGAAATTGTAAATGGGAACCAAATTTGTAGAACTTCATTTTTAAAGTCTTTTTACAGTCTTAATTTCATTTTTGCCTTACTAAAGTCAAAGACTTAAACTTTTTTAACAGGTTAAAACCTTTTTTGTCATTCAATCATAAAACATAAAACTATTCTCAAGTGATTTACAGAGAAAATTGACACTGCACTATTTTTTTTTTTATACTTTACTGCTATCAAATCTGAATGAAATGTATTTTGCCGTAGATGTTTTTCCTCTATTTTTGGTTTTCCAAAGTATTACTATTAAAGACAAACTTTAAAGATATAGTGTTCAAAAAGTGCTTAATGGACTCCCAAGAGCTGCCTCAAATAAAAATTTAGTAATCTGTATGTGATTACATTTCCCTATCCAAAGATGAAGAGTACTCCTATTTTTAATAGGTAGAATGTACCTTTGTCAGTCTTGCAGAAGCTTTAATGGAGAAACAAATGGACTTTATTTTTAAAAATAAAAATCAAGTAGGCATTTATATTATTAGAGAATGGTTAGTGTTTTGGCTGAGCAGTAATAGACAACCTTGAATTTTCGAGGACTCTTGAGTGCTTTGACTATGTCCACTACCTACTGTTCTATTCTCATCAATGAAAAATGATTAGACAATTCGACCGTAATTCCCTCTACACTTATACAAATACTATGTTCTTGTAAGTTAACATTTTTAGCACACAGGAAAAAAATTATGTAATAAAATTACTGTATCTTTTGGACTTAACAAATTTGAATTTGTATTTAAACACATATGTCTGATAATTCTTAAAGTAACAGCACTTTTGCTAACTTATTTGGGGGTCTTGGGTGCATTCTTAATTTGTGTTATTTATTCTTCACACTTGAAGTGGGATATCCTCCTGCCACAGTATCAAACACTGATACTTATTTCCTGTCAGGAGTCCCAGATCCTTTTGGAAGATTGTTTCCCTAAAGTTCGGGTGTAGGTCTTAAGGTAATATCACTAAACAGCTCTTGGAAATTCTCTTTTGAGTCAGCAGTAGCTATGATGATTCTCACCCATGACACTAAGGATTAGTTTTTTATGTTTAAGAGAAACATTGCTAAAGTTAAAATGCCTCTATAAAAGAATGCTATTATAAATTGTAATGATATTCTCAATTATCAGTTTTTAATTTATTTGATGTAGCAGACTCTAAGCCCAGCCACTCATCTCATATGGTCATGGTTAATCTTTTTATTAATAAAAATTTTGCTTAGAATAAACTTAGTCTTGTCAAATTGCTTGTATTCTCCTATTTTCTTGACACCTCCATATCCTATCCCTTCTATCTAAAACTTTTTTTCCTCTTAAATTGGAGTAGGAAAAAAACGCTTATTCTGTTAATTTCCTTTGATCTTTATTTAGTGGCTGGGCAATAGTTACTTTATGAATCTCTGTATGTAAACAAAAGTTTATTTAACAACTACTGGATATTAAATTTTCTTCTGTGAAGCCTAGTCTTGGAAATAAATACTACATTCGTGTACTTTTTTTCCTTTCAAATTGTGAGGATTTTTTTTCTTTCTTTTTTTTTTTTTTTTTTTTTAAGTGAGGATCTTTTCAAATCTTCAATGTGAGGATTCTGGTTACAGATACTCCTAGAGAAAATGAGAAATACGAAAACACGTTCTTGTGTGTAACAGGATTTATTTCAAGTAATAGGTTTTTAGTCTTGGAAAATTTATATGTGAAACCTGAACACTACTGACAGTATTTTTAGTGGAATCATTACCTTCTTATGCAACACTGCTTCTGCATCCTTTTTTTTTTAAAGATCACATACATATTCAAGTGGAGATAGTATTGTAGACTTCTGAAAGAACAAAACCAAACCAAGAGAAGAGAAAAAAGGTGAATGCTAGGTAATTGAGAACTTAAATCTATTTAGTATTTGAGAGCACTACTCTATGGGGTATCTTCTTTATTCAGTTGTTGAATAACTGAAGCTGTGGCGGGGGGTGGGGTGTGTGTGTGTGTGTGTGTGTGTGTGAGAGAGAGAGAGAGACTGTGGCTAAAAAGTTCTTTTACACACCTCAACCCAAAACCTTTGAACCTGACCCTGCTTCATTTTGTAAAAATGCATATGAGACCAAAATATTATAACTGTAGTATTAAAAGTGAAATTAAAGGTCTTGGGATGTTCTCAACTGCTGAAGATACTTTTTTAGCCATAATAATAAAAGATAAATTTTTTGTCTCCCTGACATTTTATTGCTTAATGGTGTTAGCGCTATGACTTACCTCTGTGTGTATAAGCATTAAGAAGTGGCCACTTTTAAAAAAACATAAGTGCCCACCTTACAGACTTAAAGTTAATACATGTGAAAAGTTCCTCTTTAGCACAGAACTTACCGTAATGAGTGCACTACAAAGATTCCTCCAAAAGGAGAAACCTGGCAAAGAAACTAGCATGGAGGGGGAAGCTAGTAGTTTTTTTCTTTTAATATTCTAGCTACAGTTTCTGCTCTAATCTGTGAACAGCAATAAGTTATTTGAGGGCTTCCCACTAGAGGGCAATGTTTAAGTCCTAAACAGGTATTTTTAAGAATGCATCAGCAGAATTCTATTCCCGTACTGTAAGATCTTAATTACTAAAAACTAAGTTGGGAGCCAAGTGAAGGGAAAGTCCAAAGGATATTTAAGTCCAGATAAGACCAGTATTCAACATGAATACTAGGAGTACTCAACTGAGGGCTCAGTGATAGAGGGGGATCCCACATGTCAGTTAACAGTGTGTGTCACGGTCTTACTGGGGAAGCAGCAAAAAAAGTTTTGAGCTGTCAGTCATAGCCTATGCAATCTGCCAACCCTTTTGCAAAATCCCATCCTTACGTGCCATGCTCGCTTTCTCCTTTACAAGGAGCCCAGGAATTACATGTTGGCTTACGTCGAATTTATGTGGAGTTAAACTCTGGGACACCATTTCCTTTTACAAAGTAACTTCTATATCCTGAGAATACATGTTTTTCAGGAAGTACAAAAAAGGAAAAATACCCCACCGGCAATGTCATCATGCAGAGAAAACATATTTGTCTTTCCTTTTTCATAGAAAATGGGATCCTGTATACAGTTTTATGTCCTATTTCCCTACTTAATGTTGTGTCTTGAGCAGTTTCCCAGATCAGAAGACACTTTAAACAAGAGTTCCTTGTCTGCATAGCCTCATATTGGTGGATCTGCTATTTATGTCATCAGTCTGTTGTAAGGGCTGCTTTTTTTTTTTTTTCATTTTTGCAAACAAGTACCTGAGTGTAAGGTGGTTTTTTTTTTTTTTTGAGTATAAGATTTTTAAGGATACATTTGTAGAAATATAGTTTCTGTATTAAAGGATATGGGTATATTTAAGATTTGACAGAACTTGTCAGATTTCCTTCCAAAACTGGAAGCTCCACCAAGTATACGGGATTTACCCAAATCATCACACTCTCACTAATGGACCAAAAAAATCCCATGTCTTATCTTTATTAAATTAAAAAAGTAAAAAGTGGTAACTAATTTTTTTAATTTCTAGCCAGATACTAATTTCCATAATCTTGATACAAGATGTGCTCTGTAAATATTTTCTTCCAGTCTGAGCTTCTCTTTTCTTCCTACTCTTGACAGAGCCCTTGGAAGAGCAGCAGTTCCTAATTTTCACAAAGTCCACTTGAGCAACTTTTTCTTTAATGGATTATACTTTTGGCGTCCTCTCTAAGAAAACTGCTTACCTTAAGGTGACAAAGATTTTTTATTTTTAGGACTTTACTAGTTTCTACTTTTTACATTTAGGTCTGGGATCCATTTAAGTTACTTTTTACATATGGTACATATAAACATTACATAAACACCACAGATGGGTTGAGTTTTTTTTTTTTTGTACTTTTGTTGAAAATCAGTTGGCACCATGTTAGTCTTTTTCTAAAAAGTGTTCCAGTAGTTTATATATCTGTGCTTTCACCCATACTACATTGCCTTGGTTGCTGTAGCTTTCCATAAGCCAGTAAGTCGTGTTTTTTTTTTTTCCCCCAAAAACATTTTGCGATTTTGGTTTCTTTAACTTTCCGTTATACATTTTAGAGTCAGCCTCTTGATGAGAACAAAAACAAACACCTCTCGGATTTTAATGATAATTGCCCTTAATGCATAGACCAGGGAGAGCGAACATCTTAATATTTGTCCTCCAATCCATGAAGACAGCATATTACTTTGTTTTATGTGGATCATGGGTTTCTTTTATCAGTATCTCTAGTTTTTAGCATACAGATCTCGCACATACATTGCTACTAGTTTACTGTGTGTATATGTACAAAATTTTCAATTTCTAATTGTTCATTGTACAATTGGTTTTTGTACATTGATCTTGTATCCTGATACCAAATCCACTTATGTAGATTTTTAGAAGTTTTCTATTCAGTCGTGTTGTCTGCAGCTTATTTGTAATAAATGTTTTCTTTCTTTACAATCTTTCTAATTTTCCTTTCAAATGCCTTTTATTTCTTTTCCTTGTCCTGTTGCACTGGTTTGACCTTCTAGGTGATGGTGAAAGCAGTGGTGAGGTTAGACACATTCTTGCCTTGTCATCAGTCCTGGGAAGCAAGCATTCAGTCTTCATTAAGGTTATTTGTAGGACTTTTGTAAATGGCCTTTTCAGACTGAGGAAATTCCCTTTTATTCCTGGTTTTCTGAGACTT